CTCTCTCTCTCTCTCGTGTGTGTGTGTGTGTGTGTGTGTGTGTGCGTGTGCGTGACGTGCATGCGCGTGTTCAGAGAAAGAGAGTGCGCTTCAGGCACTGCCGCACTCATCACCACCTTTGTTTTTTTTAACCAATCAATCAATCAATCAATAATCAATCACTCATTCAATCAATCATTCAATCAATCAATCAATCAATCAATCAATCAATCAATCAAATCAATCAATCAAATCAATCAATCAGTTCAATCAATCGGTCGATCAATCAATCAATCAATCTTTTTGTTTTTTTTCACCGAAAAAACGATTTTCGACATCGCTGTACGAGGAAAGACGTGCGATCTTGTAGCGGCTCGGCCTTGCCAAACACGTCTGGGCAATTACCCCACCAGCATCTCACGGTCACGAGCATTCCCTTCAGCTGCATATCAGAGACACAGTCGGGGTTCAACCAAGGGCTGGCTATTCCCAGTGATCCCCTTTCACGACGAGCTGGCTGGGGGGTTCCCTGCCACCCCCACTATCCCCCCAAGGCGCCACCCCCCCCCCCAGCAGCCCCTGGCGGCTTTGTCCGGGGGCCGGCTATACGGCTGTACGGCCGTACGGCCGTCCGAGCGTCCGTTCGAAGGGCCCGTATGGAGACCCCCCGTATGACGTACGGGGGACTTCACTGGGGCCGATTCTCGCCACACACAGAATCAGACACTGAATATTCACACTTCGTGGGATGTATCCGGTCATCATCAACAAGTTGATTTGTTCCTGAATGCTGTGTAGTGTACTGTAAAGACCTTGAATATGAAAGAGTACCCTGCCCGATACTTCACAGGAGGCCACTTGTCATGCCCCCATGACAGTGAGCAATGGAAAAATGAAAACACAGCCAAAAAATGTTGTGCCTTCTATGTTTTCCCCTCGCTCTAAGAACATAGAAGTGCATTTTAGGACGACAAAGTTGTGCCTTCTATGTTTTTCAGCTGCCAAAAAATGTTGTGCCTTCTATGTTTTTCCCTCGCTCTAAGAAAGCCTGCTGTGTCGTAGTATTTCAACACTCGCATACAACCTTCACCGGGGCCTGGCAAAGTTTGGCAGCTAGTTTTGGCATTCCTCATGCAACGCTTATCAGAAGGACCAAAACGAACCGCAGGCTTGAAAGCATATCACATCAGCTGTTCGCAAACACTACTACCCATGTCGAACAAAATGCATCGATAAACCAAAACATATCCCACAACAAAACGTGATTGGCCGCAGTGCATTTTAGGACGACAAGCGAAAAAAGAAACGGGAAAGTGTGGCAATGGTGGGAAGACAGTTAACGAAAGACGCCCACGTCCAGTGAACTTGAGTTTAGCCTGAGGGGCTATGTCCTTGAAGGCTACGCTCACAAGGATGAGCATGGCCAGTACACTTGAGTTTAGGCAGAGGAGCTACGTACTTGGAAGACCACACTCACAAGGGATTCACCCACCCTGCCTCCACTAAGACACACAAGCTACTACACTCCCAGAAAAGAAATACCAGACAGACAATGTCTGCACAGGACGGGAGTCGCAAGCAAGCGTTTGGTGCTACGGTCATAAAGAGCTCTCACAACTCTTCTTGTTGCAGTGTGTGTGGTAATTAGGGAGGCTTGCCGTCCTCATCCTTCGAATAGAATAAAACACCCGTCATTATCTATTGTCGTATTTAGACTGGAAATTCTGCCCAATGCAGCGATGACAACCATGCGTTCTGTCCAGGTGAAGAAGACGGCAGTTACAGACTTCACCATGCCCATTGGGTTGTTGGTTCGAGTTTCGAATTCAGCCTATGGGGCAGTTCTGCGTTCAGGAATGAATCCTTCGCCCTTCTTACGCTGGACCAGCATTCTATTCCACTTGGCGGAGAGAAAACAAACGATCGTTGTGCGTTGTTGCCTCCCATACGCTGCCACACAAAGAGAGAGAGAGAACTTCAATGGAACGTTTTTTTTTTTTTTTCTTCTCCCTATAACATAATGCGGAATGCGGTTAAAGAGTGTGCCTTAGGTATCCCCTCTTCCTCACATCCCCGCTTCCCTGTGCCGAGACACTTTGCTGCGTGAGCAACAATGAAGCCTTTTTTTTTCTGTACATGGAAATTGGATGCAAATCCTACCGTCTTCACCCGACGATAACATATCACCACATTATAGTTGTATGCCGGGCAGCTGTCAGTCTAGATAAAGCGACGATTACTGTGCATCAGCAACAACTACCATGCATTCTACTCCGACAAAGTCAATAGGCTCAGTAGCCCCCAAGCCCAGCCTCAAGACCGCCCCCGAACAGCCGTGTTTTCTCAGAAGGCTTGTTTCGCTGTACGTTCCCTCCCGTTCATCCCCCCACCCTGCTCTCCTTTTCCCCTTTCCCCCCCCCTTCCCTGCACCAAATTCCTCTACAGCAGCTTCACGTTCGACCGTTCTTCATGGTAAAGAGAAAGGGTCCAACAGAGGTAGAAAACAGAATCTCATGGACAGAGTAGACAGAACGACAAGCTTTCAATCCCACCCATGACGAAAAACACAAAGATTGACACGAGGCAGGCATTCTACGATCCAACACTGTAGGAATCAAATTGAAAGAAAGAAAAAAGATCCAACGAGCTACAGAAGAACAGAATCTCACGGACAGAGTAGATAGGACGACAAGCTTCCAATCCCTCTTCCAATCCCTTTCCCCCTTGCTACTCCGTTCCATCTCCACCAGTTGTTTTCCTCTCTCATCATTGCTCTCTCTCTCTCTCTCTCTCTCTCTCTCTCTCTCTCTCTCTCTCTCTCTCTCTCTCTCTCTCTCTCTCTCTCTCTCTCTCT